CCTCTCCAGAAATTTGATTTTGGCTTTTTTTTTTTTTAATCTATGACATCTCTACTCAACTTTTATATTGTAGAATGGAGTTATAAAAACTGTTTCATTGTATCGGTATAGTATTTTTTCAATGATTTATTGTTAAGTTTAACATTTGTGTGGCTTCTGAATCAGTTTCAACTGATTAATTTATCTCCTTATTATAGGTCATATATTTATGTTTCTTTGCATGCCTGAGAAGTTTTTATCGAATGCCGGATATTGTGAATTTTACCTTATTGGGTGCTTCACATTTTTGGTATACAAACACACACACACACACATCCACACACACACACACACATACATACGGAGTGGAAGATCGGCCCTGAGTTGCCAGTCTTCCTCTGTTTTGTATGTGGGACGCTCCACAGAATGGCTTGATGAGCAGTGTGTAGGTTTGCACCTGGGATCCAAACTTGCAAACCCCAGGATGCTGAAGCAGAGCATGGAAACTTAACTACTATGACACCAGGCCAGCCCTGTCTAATAAATATTCTTAAGCTTGGTACTGGGACATTACTTGGAAACAGTTTCATAATTTCACATCTTGCATGTAAAAGTTGGATCCAGAGCTGTATTTAACTTAAGACCAATTATTCTCTGCTACTGAGGAGAGACACTTCTGTGTTCTCTCTCCAATACCCTGTAAATCTTGACATTTACCAGTTTGCTTGAAAGGAACAGGTGTTATTCCATCACTTGTGTAGGTACAAGACATCTCTGATCCTTCCAGGTTGCTCTTTCCGTGAGCTTGGATAAGTTCCTTAACTCAGATGCAGTGCCAGATCCTTTGCCATTCTCTAGGATTTTCTGTATGATTAGTTCTCTCTTCCCAATAACCCTGGTCAGGGATATTGGACCACCTTATTTTTCAAGAATTTCAGTGCCATCTTCTCAACTCAGAAAGTCTACTGAGATCCTTGCCATACCACAACTTGAAAACTGTCTTGAAGAATTAAGTTCGGGAAGTAGTAGGTGTAATATAATTATTTCACATCTCTCAGGGAATACTATCTATTCTTTGCTGTCTGATATACAGTATCTTGAAAACCATTGTTTCATATAGTTTGTCCATTTTTTGATTTTCCATGTGGTAAGGCATAACTAATCCCTACTAGTTTTTCCACAACATCTTGATCTATTCCTCCTGAAGTTATTCAATGATTACTGTACCCTTGGCTGTATGCTGCTAGTTGGCAATATTAAGGTGAATAAGGGTAAATGTGAGTGAAACTCACAAACAAAGTGGGAAGTCAGAAACGGTCTAAGTATGGTCTGTAGGAGTCTCGTTGGAGGACATTCAGAATCATGGATATCTTATCATCTCCTTCCATGGCATGAGGAATGATGACCATGAAACATATATTAATAAACGGGGCTGCAACATTTGTATGAGTGATTTCCACCTTTCCTGTTGGCATCCATTCTACAAAATTTCATGCAGAGGACCTTGACAGAGGGGACAACAGAAGATTTCAAGCCAAGTTCATCTATATACATACAATGACAACCACGTCATGGATGCCACCAGACTAACAGCAACAATAATAAAATTTGAAAAGAAAATAAGCACTTACTAAAATTGGTAAAATATAATAACTAATAAGGACTTGGAAATACTTATCCAAAGAGCCATGATAATACAGCTGATTCTCAGTGATAAAGATTTTACTTGGTCTAAGAGGGCAAAAGTGCCCAGGAGGAAAGAAGAGGTGCGCATGAGGTGGGAAGCAGTATGGTACATTGGGAGGTCTTAAAATAGTGGTTTGAGAATGGGGAGGCTATAAAACAGACTGAGGCAGAAGTCAGGGTTCATATCCTGTCTTGAGAACAGAAGGGAACAACAGAAGGGAACAAAAAAAACCACTTTAATCTTCAAGTTCAAATTCTCTTCTGATTACCTAAAAGTTGTGGTTTATTGAGAAATAGTCAAGAATATAGATGAGGAGTTTGAAATATTCATTCATTCATTTGTGCAATTCAATATAAAGAAGGTGAGAAAGAGTGATGTGTATCACACTGATTTATTAATATAGAGGTGTTTTGTGAAGGTCAGGCTCAGCGGAGAGGAAAGGCTCTCATCCTGTCATGATGACTACTTAAGGCAATATCTTCAAATTCAAATCCCATTAATATATGCAGAAATTGGGGAATTATAAGGACAGTAACCAAGACTAGAGGTGACTGATGTGAGAGATTGAACTAGACTTGTTTTTGAACTTCAATAAAAGAAGAATCTACTGTCACTCTGTGTCCCCAACATGTGAGGGGGCTCACGGGAATTAACACAGATGAAGTTTCCACATTCTCTGAGATTTTGTTCTAATGAGGATTCAGAAAACTTCGAAAACTAAACCAGGGGTGGGGAGCTGCACTTAGGAACTCAGAGGACAGAAATCAGACCAGGAATGGGATACACAAAGAAGACTTCTTGGGGGAGCATATCTAAGGATGTGCTGAACTATGAGAAGTAAATGAGGCAAACTGGGGAGGGGAGAGAAGAAAAGGTGCATCCTTGGCATAGGGGAGGACATGTGAAGTGGCCAATACATTTGTAGGCACTCGGGAACAGTAACTTGTTAGGGTGTCAGGAGCATGAAGGGCAGAGCAAGGAGAGAGCAGACAGGTGACAAAGAGAATACCAGGAAGTGATGGAGGGGCAGCCCACAGAGGAATGCCTCTTGTGTTGTGGAATTTTGGATGTGTCTTGTTCCTTGAAATGTTCTCCCATGGAACAAGAGGTCTGCCTCTCAGGAAGACAATCAGAACAAGTAAGGATGGTCCCTGTCTACCATGCAGGTCCCTGGACTTTCCTAGGAAGGGTTCTGGGCCTGGGAAGGAGCAAGGGTAGAGGGGGCAGAGAGGGCTCCCAAACTTGCAAACCAGCAGGGACCTTGAGTGCTTCTGTTCACCTCCACATCTCCATTTCTCACACTTCTAGCCCAGCCCAGTGCAGGCTCCTGTCCCTCAGCCTTTTTCACGTGTACATGGGATTCATTGATCATAACATTAAGAGTGGCCAGGTCCCATTGCTATCCACAGGTGGGAGGCCAAGAGTGGTCTCAAAAGAGAGCTGTTGAAACATATGTGTTTCAAAATGATTTGATTCTTTTAAAGAAAGTTGGAAAATATTTAAGAGAATTGAATAGTTATTCCAACTTATGGTGTTATGCTAACTTTAGCACTTTAGTATATAGCTTTTTTCTTAAATCTAAAATTTTAAAATTTATAATGAAAATGCAATTGTTTTGAAAAGCAAAAGGAACAGTAAATTGGAGACCTATATCCATCTATCTAGATTCAAGATCATTAACATATTGCTATACTAAACTCATGTACGTACATATGTGTAAAGTAGACAATTTTAAGGTCAATAAGACATCATGGCATCTCTGCCTGCATTTTCACAAAATAAAGATACTCTTCTATAACCACAATACCTAGACCACTCCTAACAAAAATTAGGGGAATCGTTCCCTAAGGTCATGATTCCTGTCCCATATTAAAATTTCTCCAACTGTCCCCCAAGACCTCTACAGCTGTTTTATTTTCTCAGCCACGATGTGATAAAATATTCTGTGTTGCTGTTGACCTTTATGTCTCCAATGTCTTTGTAACTCTTATGTAATTTTCCCAACACCATTCCTTGCTTTAATTTTTTAGTACATTGTCAGTGAATTTTACGCTATGGCTCGCCTCTTCTTTTTCTCTCCCTGCTGTCTAAAGGGTCCAGGACTTCTCCCTCTGTGCCAGCAACAGCCAGAGGTGGGTAGAGCCTGAGGATTGGCGGTCCAGAGCGCCTCCTGCGCAAGCGCAGACCAACTAGAGTGCTCAGTCCTCCTCCCAGCCATGCTCACCAAAGGCGGGGCCTCCCCAGGCCCAGATGAGCTGAAGGCGTCCCTGACGGGTCTGCTGCAGAGGCCAGGCCAGCTGCTCACTGTCTTTCCTCAGGGGTCCTTTGAAGAATTTATGTAAAGATCAAGTTTGTTCGGGAATCACAGTGCTTGCTGTATGTTACTGCTTCAGGCCTTACCTTGTAATATTGGTTCTTGCTTTTTGCTTTAGCATTTAAATGTCTTTAACGTGGGTGTATACATTTTTATTTTTTTAAATCACATAAACACCATCTACAATCAAATTCATATTTTTGTATTGTGTACATCTTTCATTCTTCTTTTTAAACATGCATTCAGCATCATTTTTCAAAGAACCTCTTCAATTATTTTAACATTTTCAAGCGTCAGAGAGTCAGTCTTTACTAAACTGAATGTTTTTTTCTTTTAGGAAAGACACATTGCACTTCCCCTGTGTCAGTGTTTTCCAGAGACTTTCTCAGAAGTAATTTAGGTGGAAAAAGAAGAAGGACAGAGACTTTTCTAGAAGCCACAAAGTAAAATTTGCTCAGACTCTCATGCTTAAAAAGTGCTGTGAATATTTTATTATATGGCTTAATTCCAATTGTGAAAGGTTCAGAAAGGCATTCATTTGTATAGACAGAACACTAAGAATTCCACTCTGAATGCAGAGACCAGCCACTTCTTTGCCATGAAAGTATGAATTTTGTTATATTGTTTGCTTCTCTCCTGACCCAAAAGCTGTATATACTAGTTGGAGCCTCTGATTATTTCCACCTCATTTTTTAAATGTTTGCATAATGTTTCCTTGTACAGATGGGCAATAATATAGATATGTATGATATTCTTACTCTTTGATGAGTGAATACTAAAATTGCTTTCAGTGAAATAAAAAATTTCACTCAGAATATCTATCCAGGCAGCACATACTTTTGTAATACGGTCTTATAGAAATGGAATTGTAATCTTTCATTTATTTCCTTTTATCAATTACCATAATTTAAATAGACTTTCATGCTTGTGACTTTTTTAGATGAAAACTTTTGTTGACATAGTCAATTATTTGTCCACCTTTCTGTTATTTAGCTGATTCATTGATGTCCATTGTTTCAGGCTGAGCCTTTGACGTCTCTCTGGCACAGTTTGTTTGTGAATAGGCTGCTGAGTGTCCTTGAGAGTGAAGATTGGATTCCTCAACCTCAGTTAAACAGGAATTTCATCACCCAAAACTACCAAGAGACTCAAGAACAAGAAGAAGGTAGAAACAATTCAGGGCACCAATAATCAGACTAAGATTTATTTAGGGCCTGCAATGTGGAGGGCATGAATGTCAGCAGGATTGTATTGAAAGAAACACATTTTTGTTCTTGCTGAGGAAGACCAGCCGTCAGCTAACATCTGTGCCAGTCTTCCTCTATTTTGTAGCTGGGGCACTTCCACAGCATGGCTAGTGAGTGGAATAGGTCTGTGCCTGGGATCAGAACCCATGAACCCAGGCTGCTGAAATAGGGCACACAGAACTTCAACCACTCAGCCATGGGGCCAGGCCTGGTACACAGTCTTTAATGAAGGAAGCATCCTCACAGGGTGCATCTCTGAGACTCAGTAGCGTAGGCCTGCTTTGCAAGTAATGAAATTCTTGATCTAATGATATAAAAACTATTCTTCAGGGACCAGTTATCCTAGGTTTATGAGATATGAACAACCAAAAGAGCAAAAGCATTGATGCATTATGTATATTTTAACTCCAAAGTGTATAGCTGCAGTCAGGGGCTCTGGGGGTCAATAGGCAAAATCTTGTTCAATAAATTACTCATCATCTTCACGCTAGTAGAGCCTTTTACCATTAACCTTAATTTTACTGAAGAGCAATCCTATGCTCCATGCAAACTACACTGAATGTGGCGTTTATGTAGCAGAGGGCAGAGGCAAGATGGTTTACAAATTTAAAGCCTACTAGAAATTTTGGAGGGAAACTCATAGAGGTGATAAGCCTTACTGATTTCTCTTTTGAGGATAATTTTGTTTTGCTGTTATAAATAGAATACTCTACTTGAATTATTTCATAATGTTGTAAGTTTATCATACATACACAATACGAAATCATAGGAAAGGCAGATCAAGGTCCCTGTGAGGATTCAACCTATTTAGACACATCTTTTCCTTCATCACTAATGGATAGCCCTTCATGCTTGGGCTTGTTGGTAAGATGGCTATGACATGTAAAGACTTCTATATTTTTGCAGCCAGGAAAATGAAAGGGTTGAGGGCCAAATTCAAATGACTTTTCCTTGTGTATTTGCCTTGTTATTCTGCACTGCTCCCATAGTTCTGTGTCTCATGTCTCAGTAGAGTGATAAACATAGCAACCCTGCCTGCATGGGAGTTGACATTTTTCCCTCTTTTCTTCTTATCCCTGGTCTTGGAGGAGAGTTTAGTGAAGTGCACTAAGATAGATCTTGAATGAACCAATATGCAGTGTGTCATACTCTCCTATTATGCCTCTGGGTGTGTTCTGGACTACTACTGGCAGAAGGCAGTACCACATCCCAAGTGCTGTTTTCACCTTTATGTAAACTTAAAATGTGGCCAGTGGGAAAAAGCTGGTAACAGAAACCTGAGGAATTGACTGTGAGATTTTCTTGTTTCTATCATTTATTACATCAAAGACTGCCAGTCAGTTATTAAATACCTCATTTCAGTATATGTTCCATCGCAATAACAATAATCACCATCCCCTAGAGATTTGTGGGAAAAATATGTTAATAACAGTAGCTAGTACATTCTAATGCTCACTAAGTTATTTTTTAAGGGGGAGATATTTCTAAAGGCAGTGAGCAGAAGTGCAGAAAGAAAAAGCCACGCAGAATCAATGATGTAACTTCTTTATCCCTCTCCAAATTGGCTAAAACTTACCACTTAATTCTGAATGTAGAGTGAGAAGGGAATTTTGAATAGTCATCTGGACAATGGGCATGGGCAATTTGGTTGGTGATTGCACATTTAGAAAACTGACTGCCAAGGTGTAGTTTGCGGAGTTACCTCCACGGGAGACCTCCAGGAGACAGAACCTGCACTGAGACCTGTTTCCCACACTCAACAGCCCTGCAGTGAGAACATTCACAGAGAGTTCCTAGAATCACGCTCCACAATAAAGATACCAGCACATATTAGCTATAGTGTTAATGCCCAAATAGATTATAAATTTCAAAATATCATATCAAGACTCATTACTATTTTGCAGGTCATAAATCTGAGGCACAGCCAGCTTAAGAAATCTGCCCAAAGCCACACAGAGAGCAGCAGAGTTGGGAAATCAGCCCAGGCAGCCAGACCCCATAAATACTACTCCTCAATATGAAAATGCACTGCCAACAGCACGTAAGTAGCAAAAACTCTGGAAATTCAAATGTTTTTTCTGCTTCCCTGAAGGTAAGTCTCTTAGTTTTATTTGCCTGTCCTTCAGCAGCACATTATTTGAACACCACACTTAAAAACTGGCTTAGTATCTCACCTTTGGCCTGGTGACAATACAACTCTCATAATACCGTCTATATGGGAGATAGCTTCAAGCTATGCTCCATAATAGCAAGTGTCAGTCTCTAAAATCAAAGAGCTTGTCACATGGTGTTTACTGAAATGTCAAGATTTTAATAGTAAAAGGTGAGATCCAATTACCCCCTCCCACACACACACACACACACACACGAAACCGGCATACAAAGTAGTGGTATTGTCAAAGATGAACAAAGCTGGGCACCACTTAAAGTGTTCAGGGCAGAGTTTAATCAACAACTTACTATGGCAATAGGACAGTGTCCAGTGGGAACTGAATTCAACATCTCTTCATACAGAGGTGACTGGACTTTTTAAAAAGAGAATGAGAAGAAGGGGAGGGAGGTGAGTAGGGGCTCAGTAGAGTCAGTCAAGTGAAAAATGACAAATGGTTGGTCATTGTAAGTGTGATTAGGCCAGTTGTGTCTGCTAGCTGACAGTTATTAAAGTTAAGTTTCTATCCTCCCAAAGAGACTGGGAGACAGAGGCCCTGTCTTTCCTAATTTCATTTCAAAGGAATGGATTTCAGGTCCCTAAGAAAGACATCCTTGAGTTGAAAGAGAAAAATATACATTTCAAAGGGACAGAGTAAAGATTCAAAATGGTAAGCCCTTTTTTGTAAATGCATTAAGAAAAGGAGATCAGGGGCCTCTCATCAGGGGCTGGCTAGAACAAACAGTAAATTCTTCTGGCAGCCTGGAGTCATTCTAGACCTTGAGCTGTTAGAAACTATGATAGTATTTGTTTAAGTCTTTTAATGTAAGGAGAGAGGGATGCACAAAATAATTTGTATTGAGAGTCTGCAGTTTTTATAGGCCAAGGTTGAAGCCTAGTTGAGAAGAAGGCTCAGAGGAAAGTAGCTAGAGTTTGGTCAAGCAGACAGTCTTTCTCATTATCAAAAACAATATTTTGTCCTAAACTTCATATAGAATCTCAACAGAGCCTAAGTAGTCAAAACAACCTTGAAAAAGGACAAAGTTAAAGGTCTCATATTTTCTGATTTCAAAACTTACTACAGAGCTACTCTAATTAAAATAATGTGATGCTAGCATGAAGATGGACATATGGAACAATGGGATAGAATAGAAGGCTCAGAAGTAAATGCTTGCATGCATGGTCCAATGATTTTTGACAAGGGTGCAAAGACTATTCAATGAAGGAAAGACAGTCTTTTCAACAAATGGTGTTGGAAAAACTGGATATCAACATGCAAAAATATAAATTTAGACCCTTGCCTTATACCATCCACAAAAACAACTCAACTCAAAATGGATCAAAGACCCAAATATAAGGTCTAAAACTATAAAACTCCTTGAAGAAAATATGGTGGAAAAGCTTAATGACATTGGACTTAGCAATCCTCTCTTGGAATATGACACCAAAAGCACAGGCAACAAAAATGAAAATAGATAAATTGGACTAAATCAAAATTTGAAACTTCTGTGCATCAAAGAACACGATCAATAGACTGAAATGGCAACCTATGGAATGGAAGCAAATATTTGCAAGTCATATATCTGATAAAGAGTTAATCCAGAATATAAAGATTTCTATAACTAAACAACAACAAAACAAACAACCTGATTAAGAAATTTGCAAAGGACTTGTATAGACATTTCTCCAAATAAGATATGCAAATGGCCAAGAAGTACACAAAAAGATGCTCAACATCTCTAATCTTTAGGGAAATGCAAATCAAAACCACGATGAGATACCACTTCACACTTATTAGGATGGCTACCAGGATGGCAGCTACCAGACTGTTAGGATGGCTACTGGCCACCTCATAAAATAACAAGTGTTAGGTAGGATGTGGAGAAATTAGAATCCTTCTATCCTTCTGCACTGTTGGTAGGAATGTAAAATAATGCAGGTACTGTGGAAAAGAGTAGAATGGTTACTCAAAAAAATAAACCCAAAAACTAAAAATAAAATTATCATATGGTCCAGCAATTCCACCTTGGAGGGTTTACCTGTAAGAAGTGAGAGCAGGGTCTTGAAGAGATATTTCTACACCCGTGTTCATAGCAGCATTATTCACAATAATTAAAAGTTGGAAACAAACAAAGTGCCAACCACGGATGAATATATAAACAAAATTTAGTATATACGTACAAGGGAATATCATTCAGCCTTCAAAGCAAGCAAATTCTGACACATGCTGCAAAATGGATGAACCTTCAGGATAGTATGCTAAGTGAAATAAACTGTTTACAAAAAGCTAAATACTATATGAATCCCCTTGTATAAAGTACCTAGAGTAGCCAAATTCATAGAGTTTAATTCATAAAGAAAGTAGAATGTAGTTGCTAACGCTGGGGGGAGGGAAAATGAGAAGTTGTTTAAAGGGCACATATTTTCATTTTCACAAGGTGAAAAGTATTTTAGAGCTTGGTTGCACAACGCTGTGAATGTGCTTAATACTCCTGAACTGTATGCTTAAAAATGGTTAAACGATAAATTTATACTATGTGTACAAATTTTTAAACTCAATTTTAAAAAGATAATATTACTATATATATATATATATATATGTCAGCTTCTAAGAGTCTAGGCTACTTGTTTTGTTATTAAATCTATTATTAAAGTAGTTTCTTGATACAAGATTTGTATCAATTACATATTGAAAATATTTTCTCTAAGTCTGTGTTATCTCTTCTCATTTTCTCAACATGGTTAAGTACAATTTATCCATTTTTTTCTTTTGTGGTTCATAATATTTATTTCCTATCCATTAAATTTATGCTTATTTCAAGGTCACAAAGATTACCTACTTTATATAGACATTTAAAATGTTAACTTTAAAACCTTGACATATTTATATCTATGATAGATTTTTAGTTGATTTTTGTATACAGTACAAAATAAGGATGCATTGTTTTGTTGTTGGCATATGGATGCTCAATTGTCCTAGCACCATTTGTTGCAAATACTATCCTTTCTCCATTGAAATTCCTTAGCACATTAGTCAAAAATCTACTGACCATAGATATGTAGGTTTATTTCTGGATGATATGCTGTTCTAGTTATCTAAATATCTATCTTGCAACCAATACCAAATTATCTTGGTTAATGTTGTTCTATGTTAAGCCTTGAAGTAAATCATATGAGTCTTCCAATATTGCTCCTCATTTTCTGAATTGGCTTCACTATTCTTATCCCTTTATTTTACTATATTAATTTTAGAATCCACTTGTAAATTTCTACAAAAGTTCAGAATGGTATGTTGATTGGGGATTATGCTAAAAGATTTAAATACATTTGTGAGAATTAAAAATTTTAAAAATATTGAGATTTCCCATCCATGATATCAGTGTATCTCTACATTTACTTAAATATTCTTTAATCTCATCAGTGTTTCTCAGATTAATCCCTAAGTAAATCATGTTTTTTGACCTCATTGTAAAATACATTTTTAACTTCAATATCTAATTTATTATTGGCATATAGGAAGACAAGTGATCTTGACCCATTCATTTTTTGAAAGCTAGGAAAATTGAGTGGCAACCACGTGGAACATAAATAAACAACAAATCTGAACTTTCTCCTTCACTTGAGGTGTCAGTCAAGTGGAGATTTGAATAGGCAATGGAAATCAGATTAGATGCGCTGTAGTAGGGAATGTACAGTATTCTGTTGCAATCCACAAGATGCACTGGCAAACAATCTGAATTTAAATGGTTATTGAAGGTTTCCTGTAAGAAACAACTTATGATTAAATACATGAAGAATAAATAGGCAGAATCCATGTAAATTAGAGCTAGGAAAGACAAAGGATGGAATTATATTCAGGTAGGGACCAGGGCATGTATAGAAGTCAAAAGATTTGAGATATCACATGGAAAGTAGCAATTTTAGCGCACTTGAAGAAAGCTGAGAATATATCCATGGGCTAGAGTTTTGAGGGATTTTATTCCATGTTAATGGGTTCTGATTTTATAGTTTTTTGAGTTTCATCAGTCTACTGTGGGGTCTGCTTATTAGGAACACAACTCATGTAAATGTAAACTGAGAATTTGGGAGCCCTCTAAATTTGAAGAAAAAATGAGTTTAGGCTCTACAAAGGCAAAGGAAAAGTATGGCGTGGGGAAAATGAGAGACAACCTAACGTCCAGTATTTAATTTAGTGTTTTGATATTTAGTAAATTTAGTATTTTCAGGGTCCAACCTTCTCTTGATCGGGCTTGACCTCAATGTGAAAGATGAGTCATATGATGAACACTCCTCCTGGAAGGAAACAATTCAGCTCCAAACACAAGTTACTTTCATCTCTTAAACTCAACCTTCTCATATATCAGAAGTACATGCTCCACTATTTTTGGGAACCAGGGACTCCTGGGCTCACAGCGCCATCTAGCATCAACAAAAATGAGAGGCCAATGGCAAGCTAAATAAAAGGCTCAAAAAAAAAAAAAAAAGATGGGATCCAGGAACCAGAAATACCTGTGTTCATTTGAGCAGGATTTTAAAAATATTTCCAAAGTGAAACACAATGCATAACTGCTACGGGTAAAAATATGTGGTTCGTAATTATAGTTTATAGTTGATTATAAAACTAGTACAGTTGACTTTACACTGTCACATTCATCCTTGCGAAACTGTGTATGTGTTTATAAACACATTATTTTCCTCTGCAGTCACACTGTAGTGCATAAGATGAGTGTATTCTCCTAGCCTAAAGCCTTGATAGGTTATTATTTAAAATGTTTTCCAGTCTATAGAGAGGCCGGGCATGTTTGCTGGCGGCTCGTCAGCGGGATCGCGCCCCCGATATCCCGCCCTTCCGACCCGTGTGCAAACACCCGCCGTCAGCACGTCCTAACGACCACCCCAGCCTGCAGGAAATGCGCCATTATACGGCGCTGCCGGCTGCTCGCAGTGTGCTGTGGGAAGGTCACGTGGCTTGCCGGCCGCTCGGGCCACAGGGGCTGATTAGTACGCATCTGCGCTGCGTGGGCGGGGCGGGGCCAGGTGCAGCACTGTTCACCTCCACGTTTCCGTTTCCGCTCTCTTTTCCTGGTCCGTTCTTCTTTAAGGCACCCGCTAGAAGTTCCCATCGGTCGTTTGCGCTGCAAAGACTAACAAATTATATGAGTATATCCTCCATAAAAATTTTCCTCTCTAGGCTTCCTGTCATTGTTCTGGTTCTTGCTCTTTAACTTTGTATAAACCTTTTTTTTTTCCCCTGGGAAAAATATGTATTGGGATGTTTCCACAACCTTCTCTTCTCCTTTGTATAGTTATATAAACATTGCCTAAAACCATCATTTTATACTGTTTCTTTTGAAATAGTAGTCCTTTTCATTTCATTTATTGCATTCATCTGATAAGTTTAAGTATTTTTCCATAATACTGAACTTGAGTGCCTTGTTTTTTAAATGGGTTCTACTTAATCATTTCTATATTGTCCTCCAGATTCTCTATTGATTAATGTTTTTCTTACTTTTCTGACAAAATATATTTGATATGAGATGAGTTTAGGGGCTTCAAAGTCAAACTTTCCCCCAAAGTCACAATATTCACATAATAAGATACTTTTTTGTGTGTGTATGAGGAAGATTGTCCCTGAGCTAACATGTGTGCCAGTCTGCCTCTACTTTATGCGGGATGCTACCATATTGTGACTTGACCTGTGGTGCTATGTCCACACCTGGGATCCAAACCTGCCAACCCTGCACGCCAAAGCGGAGTGTGCCAACTTGACCACTACATCCCGGGACCAGCCCCATAAGATACTTTGTTATTGCTATTATTTTTTAAATTGTACGTATTTGAAAAAAACGCACAACTTAAAACAGTCACTGAACCTTACTTTTCTGTATATCTTATCTTACTCTGTTCCCCTAGCTCTCACCTTAGAACTGATCATTCAAGCCCCAGATTGTTTTTCCAATTGATACTGCCTCTGGTTCACCCATGTTATTCTCCCAGTTCTGACGTTTTTTTTTTTTTGTTTTGTTTTTTTCCTTAGAAAACAGTACCTGGATTCTGTAATTCAGAAGTCATAATTTTTTTGTAAAGGGCCAGATATTAAATATTTTAAGCTTGGAGGATTATATAGTGTCTGTGACAATTATTCACCTTTGTAGTTGTAGCATGATAAGCAGACATAGCCCACGTATAAATGAATGGGTGTGGCTGTGTCCCAGCAAAGCTTTATTTACAAATGAATGATTTGACCGAGGAAGTAGTTTCTGACCCTGCACCTTAGCACCCTACTCATGGTAAACAACGCTGATTTATACAACCTCAAAAGTCATGTACATTTTATATTTGTTGTGAATTACTTTGATTTTGCCTCAATTTTGTGCTTTAACATGGAAGGTTTTTGATATTAGAGATCTGCTATGTTTTATTATTTCTATTATTATTCTATAATCTAGTATACTTTTTGCTATGTTGACTATCTTATTGTTTTTTTGGAAGTGGAATATGTGCTGATGGTAATGTGAAAGAAAAAATATACAGTGACACTTGTTAGAGATGGTAAGGCAGATTTCAATGAAGACCATCGTGCTAGGTACTGGAACCACTGCAATGGGGTTTTACAGTGAGGGAGAGAGATTGGCCTCAACTCCAAATACAGAACAGGAAAGTTGAAATTTAGAACCAGGGAGCAGGGTGAGGATCAGTGGATGGACAATTACTGAGAGGAAATATCAAGGGTAAGAGGGATTCTGGCTAAATCCACCTGGTAGAATTCTTGCTGAAGAGAGGCCAGGTGACTAGACACAAACTAGGGGATGGTGGAGGATGGGCAACCTGATTAGATATTGAGGATAATCACATATCCAGAGTAGGGGGTTCTGGTT